TTTCTCGGACCGGGTCCCACACCCCGTTTAGGTTCTAAAAATTTAATACACAGCGACGTGGGACCCATGCACGGTTTGTTTGACCACGGACCTGTCATTAGCGTTGTAGTCCAGATCATTTTCCAAACGGGGTCGGCAGTGGTCTGTTATGAACCTTTATGACCTGGTTCCGCGGTAAAGATCGTGCTCTTTTTTAGGCTTCATCGCGGTGGCGGCGCCGAAAAAAAGCAGGAGGTCGAAAAAAAGACATATCGCGCTCGAAAACAAGAAGGACCAATCGCGCGGTCTGGAAAAAGACATTTCGGCGTCGAAAAAAAGAGCAGCCCGTTTTTAAGAAGGGTTTAAAGGGTTTCGAGGGTTGAAAAGGTTTTAAAGAGTTTTTAAAAGGCTTTTGAAGGTGTGGAGAAGGTTTTAGAGAGTTTTAGAAGGTTTTGAAAGGTTGTAAGAGGATTTTAAAGGGTTTTTGAAGGTTTTGAGATGGGTTTTAGAGAATTTTGGAAGGTTTTGAAAGGTTTTAAGAAGGTTTTAAAGGGTTTCTGAAGGTTTTTGAGAAGGTTTTAAAGAGTTTTAGAAGGTTTTGAGGGTTTTAAGAAGGGTTGTTAGGGGTTTTGCAGGTTTTGAGAAGGTTTTGAAAAGGTTTTAGAGAGTTTTGGAGGGTTTACAGGGTGTTTAGGAGGTTTTAGAGGGTTTTGGAACGTTTCCAAAGAGTTTTGAAAGGGCTTGCCAAAAAGGACACTTTTTCGTTCGGCGGCGCGCCTCCGGCCGCTCGCTCCTTTCTTTGTAATTAAAGAACTACTGACCGTGCGAGACGCTGCGCCCGGCAAGCTTTTCCAGACAGAATTGACGTGTTTTGCGTTTTGTATCGGGAATGGCGTCCTCTTTTTTTCCTAAATGTCTTCATAGCATCGGAAGGACGTTTTTGAGAAAAAGGTTTAGAAAACGGTTGACTTTGTCATTGAGCTGCTTCTTCCCGCAGACCGTCCCAGCGCAAAAGAAGCCTTGTTGGAGCCAGCCTCAAACTGGCTCAAAAATGTGTATTGGAGAGTGTTGAAGAGTCCCGAGTGTCCAAGGACAAATGCGTTTTTTGTGCCAATACTGGCCACAGGTTGACGAGCAAACTTGGCTTGGAGCAAATGTTCAAAATGGCAAGACATAGAATCAGTTCTTTGTCAAAACCATAGATTCTTAGGTGCGAGAACATGAAGCCGAATTCTCGCTCAAAAACTGGTCGCTGTTGTTGACCCCCAGTAGTTTGCTCTTTTTGCAGTTCAGGGCCGATCCCTGAGTGCGCCACTGTATGCTGAACGAAATGCGGTCAATCTAATCGCCTTGCAGTTTCAGATTATTCTTTTCACCCTGTTTGCATCAGTTAGCAAAGAGTCTGTTGGATTTCGCTTGGACCGAGCACAGCTGAGCTGTCTATGGATTCAGCACGCCTTTGCAGGCATCATGCAGGGCTTCTTCTGAAAGAGGCAATTGCTTGTACGCTTTCTTAGGTCGATCGTCCGAGCCTTCAGGATCTGCGAATGCCTGAAGTTCGTCCTTGCCTGGGGTGGACCAGCTCAGCAACTATGCAATTTGCACTGTGGGTGCAATGGTCTCGGTGGCGCTTGAAGTGAGATTTGCAAGGCACGTCTACGCCACCCGCCACAACAGTGCAACACGGTTCTGGATGCGAGTCTCCGACTCCTCTTCCTCCAGGCGCAAGTTGAGCCCAGCAAGCAGAGACACTGCAATTTTCCCATTGTCTCAGCTCCAGCGAATGGCGCCCACCGCCGCTTCGCCCTCCTCAACTCTTGGCCTCCGGTGCCGGGACGGTCATAGCGAGCTCGTTGATCGCTTTTCTGATGCCAATCGTATTCGGATGTTTTTGAAGTGGCAGCCTCCAAAGCCTTCCAACACAGGTTCGTCTCATAGACGTTGACGAGCGGGACATGTCCCCACTTTGTAGCAGCACCGAACGAGCCCTCAACCTCACTTTGTTTTCTCGGGCTTTTTGGCGAGGTTTGGGCTTGCCAGTTTCTTTCCAGGGCTTTTGCAAACGACTGCACAGCAGCTTGGCTCGAGCCCCGCTTTGACCGAAGGTCGAAAGGGTCCTCCCGCTTTTAAAGCTGCAGTCGTTTTCCGGGCTAGCCAAAACAAAAAGCTGAGCGAGAGAGTTCTCTGTCAAGCCTGCTTTGTTATTCGTGACGACTCGCTTTGCCTACGCTCTAGAAAACCGTAGCCTTGTTGTTGCGTGGTGGAGCATTTTCCTGAACGGTTACTGTGTTTACTCAGGGCTGAAGTCTTGACGGTTTAGAGTTTAGGGTTTAGGGATTAGGGGTTTAGGGATTAGGTTTTAGGGTTTAGGGCATTGCAAAGGCTAGCACAGCGCTTTTTGAGAACCTTGCTGATGTTGTTGAGACAGCAGGGAGGCTGCTTTCGATGTCGGGCTTGATGGTACTGGTTTCTAGGCTTTCGGCGTTCCCGCAGTTTGCGGTTTCAATACTCCATGGCTGTGTGGCCAGGGCTGCCAACTCGGGCTCGAGTTTTTAGATGGGCTTTGAGGGTTCGGGGCTCCAGCAATTTGCATTGAGAGCTGACCTGTTGAGGCACAGAAATCACGCAGCCCTAAACCCTAAGCCCAAAACCCGAAACCTTAAACCGTGCGTTTTCGGGTTTAGGGTTTTGGGATGTTGGATTCTTTACAAATGCTCGAACAGCCGGCAGTGGGCCATGGTGAAGAGCAGCGCAAACAAGCCCTTCTCCCCGTCACCGTGCTCAGTGGCTTCCTGGGAGCCGGCAAGACCACCCTTCTGACGCACATGCTCCAGAACCAAGAGGACTTTACACCCCGAAATCCAAAGCAACCCTAAGCCCCTAATAACCTAAACCATTAACCCTATAAGCCTTAAATCCCACAGTCGAACGCCCAAGGCCTAAGCCCTCAAACCCAAGCCCCAGCTCCCAAGCCCTAAATCCAAAGGGTCTCCGGGTGGCTGTGATCGTGAATGACATGGCTTCGGTCAATATCGATGCCCTCCTGGTGAAAAGCGGCGCCGAGATATTGAAAGGCAAGGACAAGATGGTGGAGATGCAGAATGGCTGCATTTGCTGCACGCTGCGGGAGGATCTAATTGAGAACGTCAAGAAGCTAGCTGTGGAGGGTCGTTTCGATTACCTCCTTATCGAAAGCACTGGCATCTCGGAGCCTATGCCGGTGGCCACCACCTTCGTTAGCGAGTACGATGGTAAAAGCCTTCTTGGCAGTGTCGCCCGTTTAGACACCCTGGTGACCGTGGTGGATGCACTGAACTTCTTGAGGGACTATGAGATGGGTCAGATGCTCGTTGATAGGGAGGAGCTGGGAGCAGAAGAGTCGGATCGGCACCGCGGCGACAAAGATGTTTTTAAATGTGTATTATAGTCTTTGGGTTTAGGCTTTAGGGACGTAGGATTCGGATGACCAGACTATTCAGAGCGATAAGGGGTGTGTTCAAGATGAAAGTGGCTGACAATGTAAGCACAAAAAATGCCCGGCTCGTTTCACCGACCGCAGCTCCTCAGTCTCATGGCCCTGCGGTTCATGCTTCTGCTTCTGCCGCACCTCCCTGAAACCTTTTACCTTACGAATCTTAATGAAGCTTTCTTGATGGACCCTAAACTTGGATCCTTGTTGGATGCAATTTTACATTTTTGTTATAGTACAACCCTAATAAGGATTGAAAATGATCACTTTGAATATGGCCCCAACAGGGAACCAGAAACAATGAATCCAGTCGAAAGACTTGATGCGGTAGATTCCAGGGCCCCAAAGCTTTCCGAGACCAAAGCGCGCAGCCTCGAAGCATCGGGTTGACCCCCAATCAGCTGGTCATAGTCCTAAGTTTGCTACCCTGAATTTTAAAGCCTAAACGCCTAAACCCTCGAGGCCTACCTGGACCCCCAAATAACTTACCTTTTTCGGGGGACTGAAATGCGAAAATTATAATAAGAATCCCGAAAAGGATAGGTTCTTTAGAGTCCAGGTAAACCTTAAATTGGCCACCCGAAGCCTCTGTAGCCGAGCAAGGCGCACCATTGCGCAGCTGCTGGTTGACCAAGCGCCTGGGTTCTGCATGTTGCCTTTCCTAGCATGGTTAAGGGTTTAGGACTTTAGGGTTTAGGGTCTCCATCTTCCGTTCTGGGGGCGGGGGCTCGGGACGCTCTGAGAGTAGTGTAGGGGTTTGGAACGGGGGGTGCAGGTCCAGAGGTTGAAGGGGCTCCTGTTGTCTACTAGTTGAGGTCGGTTTGGGGTTTGGGGTTTGGGGTTTAGGTTTAGGGCCTGGCTAGAATAAGAAGAACCTCATAATTTCGTTGCTTCGACTTGCGATTGCTCCAGGTAGAATGCGCCAACATCATCGTCTTGAACAAGGTCCGGGGTTCGGGCTGTGTGCATGCATACGGCCTAGGTTTTCGGTCTATTGAGAGTCAGTCAAGCCCTAAGCCCTTAAGCCTAAGCCACTAAACCTCTCTTTCTCATGTACCAAAGACGGCCATATATTTGCGGGCCAAGGCCAAATCGGAACCCCAAAACCCCGGGCCCGAATCCCACAAGCATAATCAGGCGGAGCCCTAATAACATCGTCCGTACCTTAAAGTTACAGTCCGAACCCTAATATCATACTCCATCCTAAACGCATGGTCCGAAGCTACAATTACAGCCCGAGCCGTAAATCATAGCTCAAACCTCAAACTCATAGCTTGAACCCTACAAGAGCCGTAAAGTAATAGCCCGAACTCGATAATCATAGCTTGCACCGTAGCGAACCCTAAAATCATAGGCCACAGATTCACGTGAGCTAGAGGTACCAGAAGTTTTACTAGCTGCTATCATCCATAAAGCGATTGCGTGTTATATCTCTTGTCCGGGTTTAGGGTTCAGGGTTTAGGGGTTTAGGGTGTCTCGGGTTGAAAATTTAGGGGTTTAGGGGTTAGGGGTGTGTGGGTGTAGTGGTGTAGGGATTGTTGCGATAGTGACGTTGTTGATGATGTTGATGCTGCTGCCGGTGATGACGGCGATGATAAGGAAGGGGAAATCGCACGTTTTGCTTCGATGGTTGCTCCTTTGCTGCAGGCACTGCTTTCCCAAAGCCCCAAACCCTGAATCACCCACACCGAACCCCAAACCGCCAATTCCCCAAAACTCCGAAACCTCTCAACCCCCAGCCCGCTAGAACCCTAATTAATCCGAAACATCCCAAGAACCCTAGCCCTAACCCGAAGTGTTGCAGCCGGTGACAGGTCGATTTGCTCTCGGAACAAAGAACCTTGCACGTCGAGGGCCTCCTGAAACGGTTGAACCCGAAAGCACGGATCATCCGTTCGACCTTCGGGAAGCTCGGACTGAATAAATACCAACTGTGTTTCCTGATAGTTGGTGTCCCTATAAAAAGACTCAAACATACCCCCCAAGCGCTATTCTGTTCGTCAGTTTTTGCGGTTTTGAAGCTTGGTTTGTAATTACTACCGGCCCCATAGACTATGAACTAACAAGCTTGCAAGCCCTCAAAACCGCTGCACAACCCTCCCATCGGCTCCGCGTGAAGAGCCTAGGAAAGTGGACCTCAAGCTGCTCTTCAATACCAAGAGCTTCAACATGGACGAAGCACAGGAGATGATCTCTAAACAGAAGCCCGCACCCTGAGCCGTAAGCTCCAGGCTTCATCAAACTTCAAAGCCTGAACCCTAAACCCTAAACCCCAAAGCCTAAACCCTAAAAACTAAACGTCCAGAAGCCTGAACCCCGGGCTTCGAAGAAAGTTGCAGAGCCTCCGCTGCGAAGCTTGGGTTTTCCTTGACAAGCCTTGAAACCTCCGTAGTCCTAAACCCTAAACTCTAAATCCGAAATGGGTAGTTCTCCAAGTTAGGGTCCCTTTCTAGGTCCCCAATGTAGTACGACACCCTTGAACCCTAGACCCTAAACCCCCTAAGTCCTCAACCCTAAACTCTAAATCCGAAATCCTAATCTTTCTGCCTAAGCCCTAAGCTCTACATCGCTTCGGAGGAGATGCCAGGTTGGTACCAGGAACTGCAGGGCAACCATGTGCCCGAGACGGAGGAGACGCCCGGGCTGCCATTTATAGATCCAGAACCCCACATACTTACCTGGAAAGCCAGTAGTCTGTATTTAGGGGCTACTTTGAGCCAATTATGGGCTACTTTAGGGTATGGTAGTCTGTTATTTTGGGCTACTTGTCTTTTCAGGTAATACTTAATCCCCCAAACCCTGCAATCCTGAACCCGAAGCGCCGACAGGCTTAGTCGCCAAGGTACGGCATCTCCAGTCTCGTTTTTCGCATGCAGAGACCCTTCCACCCGCAGCGGCTGGATGGCCTTATTTGCTCCTGGATGGCGCTTGAGCAAGACTGTAGCTGTAGCGCTTTAAGGCTTGGGGTTCCGGATCGAGGGTTTCGGGCTAGCTGTCAGCTTTATCGTCTGGTGTTGCACATTTGCTCTGTTGAGCCGAGCCTGCACAGTTCACTCAATGGGCAACGGCCGGGCTGTGCATGAGGCCTGTGCACACTGAAACCAAACAGACAAGCCCTGAGAGACGGGACAGGTCAAGCCTCACCTGTCCCTTGACCCCTGCACGGCATACAAGGTCATGGGCTGGATGATCGCATCATGCGCTCCAAAGGTATTCTGTGGGTTGCCGGCCTGGATAGATCCTTGATTTGGCACCAGGCTCGTTTCCTTGGGCCTGAACCCTATGCCATACATCGGCGGTACAAAAGTTTTGACCTACCGCCTCTTTCTTGCCCTAAGACCTCTTGCGAGTAGCGGACCGGATGCTCGAACGACGCGGCCTGCCTAGCAGAGTATTTGACACGAGGTTTTCACTTCTACTACTATCATGTTCCGGAGGAGTGCCTCATGGTCCCTGCTTGTTAGGATTCTACGGGGGAGGGGGCCCTCCCTTCGACGAAACCGCGGGTAGGTACCCTAAACCCTAAACCCTCTACCGCAGTGAGCCACATCAAAACCCCCGAACCCTGAATCCTAAGCCGCCTTAAGGCTGGCTTCAGGGGCCAGGGTTTTAGGGTTTTACGGTTTTCGGGTGTAGGGTTTAGGGTTTTAGGGTTTAGGGTTTTAGGTTTAGGGTTTAGAACTTTTATTCCCCAACAAAGCTGCAGAGGCGGGCCGCACGAAGAGAATTGAGGCCGGCCCCTATTGGCTCCATGGCAACGTCGATCTCTTGGAGTGGCCCGCGGATCCTGGGCGTTGTGGTCATACCGTGTTTTGCAGGGTTTAGGATTTAAAGGGCTCCCTATATTATATAACCCTTATGTTACCCTTTACATAGCCTCTATGTAACCCCAAGGTCCAGTCCCTTGGGTTTAGGGATTGGGGCTCAGGTTTTAGCTTTAAGGGTTTAGGGTCTAGGACCTTGGGTTGTGGATTCTTTTGAGGATCTGAGATCTCTCCAGTCCCACAGGTCCAGCATACTTAATACTAGCCCAAATCCGAAGCGGCAACTGAGGGACTCCCCCTCCTTAGACCCCAAACCCTTAACCCTAAACCCTAAAGCCCTAAAGCCTAAACCCTAAACCCTAAAACCCCAAACCCTAAACCCTAAACCCCCGTAAAACCTCTACCCCTAAACCCCGAGGCCCTAGATCCTCCCTCATGTACCTGCAGACGGAAAAAGGAGCTCAAAAAAGAATCCTAAACCCTAAACCCTAAGCCCTAAGCCCTAAGCCCTAAGCCCTAAACCCTAAACCCTAAACCAACCAGCTTCTGTCGAACTGAGGAGACTCCCCCCGAGTATCGGGAGGCACTCTACGGAGACATGCGCCAGGTGGCTTGTTCGATCCAAAAGCCGTCGAACAATTCGTGTGGGAAGCCTTGAAACGGTTTAGGGTTTAGGGTTTAGGGTTTAGGAACCCTACCCCCTAAACCCTGAGCCCTAGACCGTAAACCCCCGACGTTGAGCCTGTATAAGGATGATGGCGTTCCAGCTTTTCTGGCTTCTACTTTACAAAGCCTTGGAAAGACACTATATGCCCAATAGAAAACCCTTACTCTCATTACTAAGGCCGCCATGTGGGCAGTTCTCTAAACTAGGGTCCCTTTCTAGGTCCCCAATATCGTACGGCACCCTTAGAAGAAGGACCCTAAAAGGGACCCTGATTGAGACAACTACCCATATCGTTGAGTGGGGCTACTCCCCAAACCTGGAGCTGCAGAGTGGTTCGGGTTTAGGGTTTAGTTTAGGGTAGCTTCGTCCGTTGTTCCCCAGAAACGCCCCCCCAACAGGGCATGGACGGCGGTTTAGGCTTCAGGGTTGAGGGTTACAGGCTTGAGGGATAGGGATTTTGGGGTTTAGGGATTTGGGCTTTATGCACAAAGCCTACATCCATCTGAAGAAGCCTTAAACATGGTATGACCGCACAGGCCACGCTCCCCCAGAAAGCCCCTAAACCCTACACCCCGAACCCACCTAAACTGCCTGGAGGTTCATGGGCAGCTATAAGTTTGGTTCCAAGTAGGGGAAGCAACAATTGTAACCCATATTAGGGGACTTACAGAGTTCATGTTCTGACGGCAGGAACTGGTTTTCATTGGGAGGCACTTCGACAAGGAAGCTTTCGAGAGGCGTCTGGAGAAAGCCTTGGTCACGGGCCCTGAGCTTCTGGGATGCTTCTTAGAGGGTTTAGTCACTATGGGGTTTGGTGCTTTTTTAACTTAGTGGGCTTTTTGTAGTGAATCTATCCGTGGGCTTCGATAGGGTTTTCTTGGGGTTCCAATAGGGTTTAGTTGGTGTTGCTGTGCTTTTTACGCGTTTCGCATGGCTTTTACACGGGTTGTAGGGTTAGTTTGGGGTTTGGATTTGTCGATTGGTCTCTTGCGCCTTCTCCTACCCCGCGGTTTCTCAATCTTCCACAAAGTTAAAGTGTTCCAAGGCCCTTTAGCAACAAGCAACAACTCCTTAAGTTCAACGCTTCAAACGTAAACCTTAAGCCTTAGCCCGCAAAGCTAAACTGCCCTAAACCCTAGACGCTGCACCCTAAACCCTAAAACAAAAAACCCTAAACCCCAGACCCTAAACCTATACTTTAGATCCTAAATCCTACTCACCCACACCCTAAGCCGTTAAATCCTAGATCTGAATCCCCAAACCCTAAGCCCCACGAACAGGGTTTGGAGCCCTTGAGGGAATGGCACAGGTTTTTTCCATTAGGGTTTAGGGTTTGGGGTTTAGGGTTTGGGGTTTGGAGTTTAGGGTTTAGGGTTTGGGGGTTTGGGGTTTGGGGTTTAGGGTTTGGGGTGTAGGGGTTTTCGTTTAACGTAGGCTGGTCACAAAGGGTTGGGTCGGGTCAGAATTCGGGGCTTAGGGTGTAGGGATTTGTTTAAGGTCTCAGGGTAGGGTTGAGCATGAGTTTAGGGAGCAGGGCTCGGGGTTAGTACAGGTTTTCGTGGCACGTGCAGAGCCTGGGGGGTTTTTGCAGGGTTCGTATGGTGCTCATGTCAAAAGGGCTGCACAGATAATGCTTGGAAACGCGGGGCCCTAAGCTTATGCCCAGAGTCGTGCTAATGGTAGTGATCTTATACCCTGCACGTTCCAAGGCGAAAAGCCTTAACACCAGACCCGGCAATGCAAAGCCCACTGTGCCAACCACCGTACACCCTCATGTCAAGAGACCCCAAACCTTGAACCCTAAACCCTAAACCCCTAAACCCCTAAACCCAAAACCCAAAACCACCTTAAACCCCAAGAATCCTGCAACCCAGCCTCCAAAGCCCGCAGCCATAAAAGCCGGGACGCCAAACCACCTTTGCACCTCGATCTTCAAGCCCGAACGCTTTGGGGTTTGGGGTTTAGGGTTTAGGCTTTAGGGTTTAGGGTTTAGGCTTTAGGCTTTAGGGTTTAGGGTTTAGGGTTTAGGGCTAGCGTCAACCCGAAGCCCCTACATCCGCACAATATGGGGGTTTCCGAAAATAGGGGACCCTAATTTCGTACCCTAAATAGTAGGATCCTTATTATAAGGACCCCAAAATTAAGGTACCCTAATTTTCGGAAAGTCCCATAAGAGTCGTTTCTAAACCCTGACTGTACCCACTATGAACACAGCGCCCTGTGGAACTCGAAACCCGAGTCCGGATCCCAAAATCCCACTGTAGGCCCTACCCGTAGTAGCTCAAACCCCAAACCCTCAAGCCGAAGCCCTAAACCCTAAACCCTAAGCCCTAAACCCTAAGCCCGAAGCCGAAAGCCCAAAAGCCCAGGTTTGAGTTGGGCCCGGACGCGTGGAGAGAGTGGCCAAGTCGTTTCCGAGAGCGCTTTTCGGATGGCCAGGCGAAGGTGGCTCGGGGAAGGAAGGTTGAGGGTTTTTGGGTTCTAGGGTCTCGGGTTTGGGATTTAGGGTTCTAGGGTCTCGGGTTTGGGATTTTTGGGTTTTGGATTTTTTTTGGGTCCAAGGTGTCGAGGTACAACGACAGTAGCAAGGTCCTTCGCGGTGTTAGGATGCCTTGGCTCCCGGAAGGGGGTTCCGGGTTTCTTCTTGGGAGTCGAGTAAGCACATAAACTTTGAGCTTTTTGGGTGGGGGGAATGTAATCCCCACGGAGGCTGCGAAAGGTTCGTCGGTAGATGCCCACATTGAGCTGCACAAGTACGCCTCAAACTTCAAGCCCTAAGCCAAGCCCCCTAAAGCCGAAGCCCCGGGCCCTACACCGTAAAGCCTGCAGTCCTAAAGCCCTGAGCCCCAAACCCGAAGCCCTAAGCCTTCAACCCTACACCCGAAACCCTCAAGCGTAAACTCTCGAAGGCCACTCTGCGAAAGAGGCGCGTGCCGGCGAAGAAGCCTATAGTCCTGGGGAAGATAGCGAAGGCAGGGAAGCAGATGGGTAGTCTTCCAAATCAGGGTCCCCTTTAGAGGCGTTAATTTTAAGGGTGCCGTACTATATTGGGGAGCCAAAGAGGGACCCTATTTTAGAGAACTAGCCAGATGATTAAGGTGATGGATTCGGGGCTTAGGGCTTGGGGTTTAAACCCTGCACACCGAAGCGTTAAGGGCTTAGGGGTTTCAGATTGAGTCTTTAGGGCCTCGGCTTTCGGGTGTCGGGTTTCAGAGCTCAGGGCTTTGGGGTTAGGGTCGCAAGTTGAAGAACGGGTATGGGTTTAGGGTTTAGGGTTCCCGGTGTGGGAAGAGGAGGTGTCTAGTAATTTGTGGTCGGTTTCTGGGGTTTTCTGGAGTGTCCCTGAACCCGAAAGCCCTAAACCCTAAACCCTAAACCCGACCAACCCTAAACCCTAAACCCGAAAACCCGAAAAACCCTAAACCCTAAACCCAAGAACCCGAAAACCCGAAACCCTAAACCCGAAAACCCCCTCAACCCGAAACCCCGAAAGCCTGTCTTCTGTTCAAAGGTACTCGGGGCTTTTGGGAGTCGGGCTTGAGAGGCTCCCTGGGTTTCTGGTGATTTCAAGGCTTGGGTTCAGGGTTTAGGGTTTAGGGTTACTTGGGTTTGGGGTTTAGGGCTTAGGGTTTAGGATTGCTTGGGTTTAGGATTTAAGGTTTAGGGCCACTTGGGTTTAGGGTTTTGGGGTTACTTGGGTTTAGGGTTTAGGGTTTAGGGTGTTCAGGGTTACCTGGGTGTTTAGAACGCAGCAGCGCCATGCTCTCAATGCGATCCCGAAGCCCTGAGCCCCTAAAGTTTGAATGCCGAGGACATATTGCACAACGCCACAGGCGCAAGCAGGTCCAGAGTCCTCCACCGGGAACGATCGGGTGTGCCGATCCTACGGTAGACCTGCCAGCTGGACCATGTTTAAGCCGAAACCCCAAACCCTAAACCCAAAACCCTAAACCCGACGCCCAAAACCCTAAACCCGAAGCCCTAAACCCTAAACCTTAACCGTTCAGCATCCCAAACCTCAAACAACTCGAGCCCGAAGTCGAAGGCCTTGCGGAAGAGGAAGAGGGGCGGTGCTTAGGAATTCGCTGGGTAGGAAGCGGTAAGGTTCGTTTTGGGAGTTTCTCAGCAGAAAGGTTGCCCTTCCTTGGTGTGAATCTTTACTTCATCTGAAGAGTGAGATCCTCCAGACGAGGGATTTCTGTCACGGAGATCTCTGAAAGCTTGCGAAACTCCCATGTTGTTTTTTGTGCTCATTTCTGACTCGGCCTTTCGACAAAACGTCTGCATTCGCCGAGGAGCAGAGGGGTGAGTTTGACTGAGTTCCAGTCGCTTTGGTGGTCGCTGCATCGCCG